ATCGACTTCCTCCTTCACATCTAAACTCTTTGTTACCTGGTGACAGTGTGGTCCTGTACATGTACCGGACTACACTGCTTGCCTAACCTAAGCTTTCTGGCATCAGCAGTGCCTTTGGGATGTGTGCTGTCTCAGCGTGGGGAAGGGAAACTTGAGCAGCAAGGGGTTGATGTTGGCCCTTGGCAAGGAGGTTCATGGTGTGCACAAGCTTCCTGTATAGCCTTCTGCCCAAGTGCACAGTACAACTGCTTGCAAAAAGGAGATATGCATGTCATACACTGGCACTGGGGATGACATGGGGTTCTTTCCTAAGTATTTTGGTTGCAAATCTTGGCCCTGACTTTCAGCACCCCATTGTCTTATTTGCAGGTTCCTTAAGGAACTTGGGCCTGACTTGCTTAGCCCTCTCCTGTTTGCACCTTTGGCCTTTTGTAGCTGAAATTAAGCCATGTTTTCTGTCAGAAAGCATCTCCTGGGAGGGGCTGCAAACTGAGGCCCTCAAACTCATTACAATGATGGTCCATGCCATGTTGACCAGAAATCTCCTGAACAGAAAGGCTCTTTTCTAGCCTCCCCACTGGACAGACCTTCTGCTAACATGCCTGCTCAGACAGTTCACAGGAAAGACTCTGCCTCAGGGTCACCCTAACCCCTTATAGTGGTATTTATACCTTGATCCAGTCTCTACTTAGCTTCACCTGGTGCTAGGGAGCTGCAGGCAGGAGCCTGCACTGGCTGGGTTTAAAATTCTCTGGGAGTGGCTGTCTGTGTAGGTTTGAGCTTTTAGCTCTTTTTTTTAAAATATGATGCTAGTAATTCTTCATGCTGAAATCTGTTTCTTCCCCCTCCCTCCTTTCCATTTTAGGATGTTATTACAGCAACAGCTTCTCCAGGTGAGCAACAGGGAGAAGATTGCCATGGGATTATTTAAATGCCTAAGCGGCAGAGCAGGATGGCTCCCAGAGAGGATGAATGAGGCTGCAGGTGAAGGTCAGCCAGGGCCCGCCCCCAGCAGCAGGTGGCAGGAGTGATTGGCACCGTGTTGTGGATGGAGCAGGCGAGCAAGTGTATGCACCAGGGCTACAGCTGTTCCTAGGCCTGGTTACAGATGTGGCGCTCAAGAGCTCGGCTGTCTCCTTGGCAACAGGAAGTAGGGGGCCTTCTCCGAGGAGAGCAGATGCGGATGGGAAGCAGCAGCAAGCCAGGTGTGGGTGATGTGCTGCAGGAACACAGATCTCCAGTCCCCTGCATGGAGTTACCCTAAGATGCAGTGAACTTTTCTTCTTCCTCCTGGATGGAGTTTCAGAGCAAGGGGTTGGCTTAGCAGGCCGCTTCCGCAGAACATCAGGCCAGATCTTGGGCCTAGGGGCACAAAGACATCCCTTATTTTTTCTGGCAAGCAAAGATTGTGATGGCCCTTCAGGGAAAGAGGAGACGATGAGTCCAATCAAGGTCCAAGCCCAGGACAATCCATTTTCTCACAAGAGATGAGCACTTCAGTTGCTTTGCAGTGAAAGATCTGGGGTCTCCGAAGGCAGCTTCTGCAGAAGGACTGGCTGCTGGATTCCTGCAGTTGTGTAGCCCCAGCAGCATATGCTCTTTCCTTGGACAGTAGAAGAGTCCCTGCAGCCCAGCAAGTCCTCTGTGGCATCCAGGGAGCTGTGAAGACATGTGCAGTGATTGAAGAGTCCCCAGGGCACTAGATTTGTTGCTGAGCCAGTCTTCATTGCAGTTCCCTCCTGCTTTATGCATTCCCCACCCCCTATGTGTTCTATGCCCTTCATCTGCTGCAACAGAGAAGGTGGGCAGTGAACCATTGGCATAGGCTGGCCAAGAGGCCAGCAGGCAACGGCCTGCAGTGACCTCTCCTCTGGCCCAGCAGGGTGGCCTCTTCCCCTCAACCCCACCCACCATGAAGTGCTCCCTGCGGTTCTGGTTCCTGTCTACTGCCTCCCTGCTTGTCTTTGTCATGTCTCTTCTCTTCACCTACTCGCACCACAGCATCACCTACCTGGACCCCAGCAGCCTCAGTGGCATCCACCGGGTCAAGCTGGTGCCTGGCTATGCTGGTATGCAGCGTGTCAGCAAGGGTGGGCTCTTCATGAAGAGCTGTGCTTGCCAGCAGTGCATGGAGGATGCCAGGGCCTCAGACTGGTTCAACAGCCACTATGACAGTAACATCTCCCCAGTGTGGACGAAGGAGAACATGGACCTCCCGTTGGATGTCCAGAGATGGTGGATGGTGAGTGAGTTCTGCTAGCAGGCTTGGGGTTAGTGTCCCCTTTACCACCTTTGTACCTTACTAGGAAGAGGCATCCAAACTTGTGGCCTATGGAGAGAGACAAGAAGTGGTACCCTAATACTTCACCCCCACTCCCTGCTAATGCTCCTGGGACACAGGGGATGGCCCTGGGTGAGCAGTGGATGTGGCTTCCAGCTCCTCTCTGTGCAGCTTGTCTAACCCATAGGTCAGGAGTGTGCTGTTTCAGAGGCTCCCCAGAGCTAGGGGAGCCTGTGTGGTCTAGTCTGAACCCCATCTACTGTAGAAGACTCACTCTGCCACCTGTCTCTGTACAGAGGGGCTCTGGAAATTCCTGGCTATTGTGTCTGTGACCCCAGATCAAAATGAGATCTCTTTCTCATCATCACCCCCTCTCAGCCCACCCAGGCACTGAAAGCCAACCAAAGCTACTCCTCACCTGTAGGGCACTAATAAGCCAGCATCTGCACTGTGGGTGTAATCCACTGCCTTCATGAGGGCCTTGTATTAATGCTGGGAGTGATGTGGGGATACTGAGAGGTAGGGGCAGCCCTGCAGTTGGAACAAGGAGCCCCCTAAAATGGGTCTGTGGAGGTGGCAATAATAAATTCTAGTATGGCAATGCTGCTGTCTGATCAGAGACCACCTACATGTGTGGCAGGGCTGTGAGGAGCAGCTGTGTGCAAACATCTCCTTCTAGAAGAGGAGCTGAGTTGGCTGAACACATAGAAAAGCTAATCTTGTAGAGCTTATGTCACTGCTGGAGAACAGAGAATACCTCTCCCCTCTTCCCCTCATAATCTCCCCCAAATACTGCAGCCTGTGGAACAAGTGGATAGGTTTCAGCTTCTAGCCCGAGTGCAGAAGCAACACAGGTCAGCAGTGAAAACACAGAGCAGGGGTGAGGGGCAAGTCTTTGAGCCAGATGCCATTGCCTCATCCTGTGCTGGGTGGCCCCTGTGCTCAAGGTGCTGCCACTTGATCCACTGGCACCCTGCACAGCATTCTGCCTCTGGAGCTTCTCCCTTTACGCAGCAGGAGGGTTTCCCGGGGAACCAGCGATGCACTGAAAACAAAGCATTTAATTTAAATTCCATGCTGCTGCAAGCAGCCAGCCTAGCACTGAAGTGGCACATGCCACAGGAGTTTGGAGGACAGTTGCACTTGGTGCCAGGGAGGGTGTATGTGTGCATATGGGTGGAGAGGAGTGTGCCAGTCCAGACAATCTGCCTGGGACCAGTGTGCATGGGGGAGGGGAGCTGCTAATGGCCTTCTCAGACTTGGCTTTGTTGTCTGGAGGTCCTGGGTGACTTGGAGTTGAGGGGGTGGGGCACATGGAGCCTAGGCAAAGCTCTCTATCCCAGAGCTGCATGGCCTGTCCTCCTTGCAGCAAATGATGGAAGCACATGCTGATGACACATGCACCTCCCAATCCAGAAAGGAATGGCAATTAAACCAGCATGTCCTTGTGCTAGGAGCTGTATGAATGCAGTAAAGGGACTGGAAGCATGTGGAGGCAGGAAGCAATTGTAAATGAGATGCAGCCTCCTGCCTCCATCCCTGGGTGTCTGCCGGAATCCAGCTGGTGATCTTTGTTAGAGCGATAGGCTGTCTAAGGAGTAACGGCTTCTCCTCCTCTTCTCATCCCTGGCTCCCATGATGTACAAGGCCCTGGGGGTCTGTTTTCCTGCTCTCTCCTTTAATTAGATGGATCTCTTAGCTCCTTCTGCAGTATTGGTCCACAAATCTGCCCGAGTCCAACTTGCTGCTCCTGAGAGTCCATTAAGTGATGCTCTGTGATTAGTGATGGAGATACAGGCTGGAGACTATAGCTCTTTCTTTGCCAGCTTGCTGCTGCAGCTGGAGCTGCTGTAGCAGCTTTCTAATGCATCCTTGGTGGGACACCCAGCTTGCGTTCTCAGCCCCAGCCATATGTTTTTAAGCCTGTATTGCATCTTGTTGGATGCGTCTGTTGGGAGATGAATGGGCTTGCTGGATGAAGAGGCCACTATCACCCTGGCATAGCCTCGTATCTGACACTGCTTCCAAAGGCGGGCTTGTATAGACCCAGTAGAAAGAGTTGTTCTTTGCTCCCAACCTTGAGCTCTCCTGCAGCTTCTTGTGAAGTCACACAGTCCCTCTATTAGATGTCAGGAGACCACTGCAATGGTTCATGTGCTGTTGTGCCACAGTTCATTCACACTGGGTCTCTGCAGCCCTAGGTTCCTGCCAGACCCCTCGAGCCCTGCTTCTGACCCAAGCCCTGGAGCTGCTTCAGGGCAATGGGCTGTTTGCCCAGCTTCTCCTTGGTAACCTGAGGAGAGAGGCCTGAGGGATGATTGCTTTTCTGAGTAACAGAAAGCTTGCTTCTGCTGCCCAATTTGAAAACAGCTTTAATGTTGTGGGTATATCTGCCTGGTACAGTGCTTGCTGTGGCACTGGAGGCAGCAGGGTGCCATTGGCATGAGCTTGGGCATCTTTGCACAGTGCTGCATTGTGCCATGTAAGACCAGCCCCTTTTCACTCCATCAGTCTGTTCCTTGAGTGTCTTGGGGTTCAAACCTTCTGCTCCCCTGACAAACCAGGTGTTTACTCCAGACTTGAGCTCTGTAGAGCTAAGACAATTAAGGAAGAAACTGGGCTGGACTCCATCCTTGCTCACAGAGCAGGTAAGGTCCAAGTGCACTGCATTCAGTGACTGGAGGATAGTGAGAAGAGCCACACTTAGGACTCTGATCCAGGTTGTGAGGGTAGGCTGGAAACAGCTTCTCTGGGCCCTTTTAGCAAGCATGTCCTGTCTGGGGGCTGGTTCTTTACTGTCCTCATAGGCTTGTTCTTCTGGAAGAGTGCTTGAGCCTCTCGAAAAGTTTAAAATAACCTTCCAAAAAAGCCTGGCCATGACCCCTTCTGAAAGCAAGTGCAAGCATTGTGCTGTCAGACACTGAGGGACACTTGCTGGAGGTTCTAATCCCTGAAGGGAAAGATGGGTAAGAAGCTTAGAAGTGTTCATATACAAGCAAGGATGCCCACCAGCCTTGCTATTGGATGGCAAAGTATTCCTTTACAACAGGAGGGACCCCCCACTCCCATAAAATGCCAGCTCTTAATTTTCGCTCTTTTTTGACTACAGAAAAATACTAGAAACAATTCTTCTGCTGCAAAGAATTCAAAGCCCACATCAAGTCAAAATATTTTTAACACTGTGCAGTCCATTTGTAATCTTTGATTTATCTTGTGAATCACATTTGCACATCTAACAGTGTTAACACTTGTGTGACACCCTGCAGCACCCTTGAAAAGATCTCAAGGCATCCCAGGGTGCCACAGCACCCTTGTTGAGAATCATAGTTCTATGCCAGTGCTTCCCAAACTTTTTTCCCCCCTCGGTATGACCCCATTTATGGCCCTATTTCCTCAGCATAGCCTCTCACTCCCAACCCACTAGGGACTGCTGAAAGGTCACAATGAACCATTTCACTGCTGGACGATGCTGCCCAAGGGCCAAACCCAACCATCAATCTCACCCCACAGGCCTGCCAGGCTGCCTCAATGGCAGAAATGCAGCTTCCCATCCCCCCCTAGTCTGCCAGTGTGAAGCAGGCCTTGCTGCCAGCCTCACCCAATTCAACTTCTCTCACAACTTCTCCAGCTGTGGTGATGTATGACACTACCTGGGCTGCTGCTGGGCCCCAGGCACTGACATGTGACTGACTACACA